GCATGCATGCATACACGGTCCATACATGCATGCATGCATATATCAATCAATGGGGAGTTCACATATCCAACTGACGAGGGCACGCGTGTGAATAGACCGTTGCAGCCGGCACACCTACGTACAATTCGGGTGGAACCAACGTGAGCTTGAACGTTAAACCCACCAAAAAAATAATGTTGAATCGTGTGACTAAGACCAAAAAGACTGAGAATGAACTAGCCCAACCAATGGTACAATACCGTACAAGCTCGGTACCTGCTTGTCCCTGACTTGATTGATGAGCTGAACTGCAGCACTATAGGTCGATCTAGTGGCCTATTTGATCTCCTCTTCATGCTCGATGTTGAACAGTACGAAGTGTTCAAACTTACAAGGATATGGACCGGGCAGAGAACCGCGTAGCATGCATGGCGCGTGTTCGATTTACACGCTGGCTGGACCAGTGAAAATCAACCTTAAAAATGCGACCAGTGCTGCAATCTGAATAATAGACCAGGTCTCCATCTCCATCAGTTTGCGACTTTTCTCTTTCAACCACGCGCGCACGCAGCAACCTATAAAAGGAACTCACCATCCTGTCTCTCCTCCAACAACCATCTTCAACACTTCAACTCTTCAAGCACGTCGTCCATTCGCCGTTCCTCCAACGGACGCACGTAGAGCTCAACCTGTCTGCAACATTCTCTCAACGAATCCGTCCATCCGTACTACGAGTTCAACTAAGAAGTAGTATATGGGGTCGTCGGCGACGATGGCGAGGGCGGTGGTGGTGGCCGTACTGCTGGTGCAGTTCTGTAACGTGGTCATCGCGGCGAGGCTGCTCGAGGGAGACGGCGGTTGGCTGCACGGCGACATTGGCGCTGCCGGGGCGCTTATCATGCAGGTCCTGCCCGGCGGCTCTCCGGGAGCGGGGGCATCCAACGGCTGCACCAACAACCCCAACCACCCTCCCGGCGGGAAATGCAACGGCTAAGCCGCCGGCAGAGCTCCACTAGTCAATTAGCATCTGATGCATGTACATGCTGCACATGCGTAGATAGAGGTCGTGTTCATTGATTCTTTCTTTCTTCAATTGTAATTACATGGCGCCCGTGGAAATTTTGGAGCCCTGGAGTTGTTCAGGTTTAGTTAGTTTTAGTACAGGGATTTGCCATAAAAGCAGTCTCACACGTAGGTCCTGACGTCCTGTAACCAAGTACTTTGACACATTATTATATTCATTACGACGCAAATGTGAGTATTTATAAAAACGTGTTTGCTATTGATAAATTGCATGAAGACATAATTTGAGTAAGTCGACTTTGGTCTTTGGGAGAGAAGAAGGGAAGGCGCACGTGCGGAGCTCCAATGTTGAGCCAGGGAGACGCAGCTAGCTACAACACCCCCCTAGAGAATAAAGCTAGGAGAAATATTATGAAATGTGATATTTGTAGGCTTTGTGGTGGAACGCGAGAACATTTTCATGCATTTTGTAGATGCCCGATGGCTCAGGGCCTGTGGCACGTGACAGGGGAGCATTGGTGCATGCCTAGGTTGGAGAACATCAAGAATACTTGACTAGAATGATTTATGCGGCTCTTCAGACAATGCATTGATGATGAATGACTCCCTATCTTGATGATGTTAGGGAGCATATGGCACGTCCGCAATGATAACAAGCATGCGCCTCACATCACACCCTTGCCAAGGGGGGCCTTCCACTTGTACGGTTGTATGGCTCTAGCTTGGACCAGGCGAGATTGTCAAGCTGTGCCAAGATGATTGTAATGAATCTCCTTGATTAATGAAGTTTACAAGCTGAAGAAGAAGAAGAAGAAGAAGAAGAAGAAGAAGAAGACGCCACACCATATCCGGCAAGGCCTCGTGAGAAACAAGCTGAAAGCAGGAGACAACGCGGTTGCCCACGACATTTTAGATGGAGGTGAGACGGGGCTTGATAGGTGCGGGTGCAGGGCATTGTGTAGTCCTAGGCAATGGAGACTAGCGGACCTTGGAGGACTTTTCGGACGACAACAACGCGATGGATGGGGCAGCTCGGGACTCTGTGGCGCCGAGGCAGCGAGAGACAGTGCCACCTGTCATGGGTGGCGGTTTCAAGCGGTTTGGCTTGTGCATATAGGTGGTTTAGGGTGCGGGAAGATATGGAAAAAGAAGAAGGGTGCCTAACAATTGGATTTAAATCCAGCAACTAGAATAAAATCAACTTAGTCTCAAAAGAAAATTTAGGCGCCTTACACATAGTCGTTCCCTAATAAAAACTAAGTACGTAGGCTAGGTGGCGTGGGCCTTGGCGGGGGGCTTATCTAGGGATGCCTCAAGTTCCCGCCACTCCCCTTCCACACTTGTGGCATGATGGTGTCAGTGTCCTCCATGGTAGAGTCGTCTGACATGTCCTCGGTTGCGCAGGCAAGGCCTCATTGAAGGGAGCGGTGGAGAAGGAAGGCACGCGGTGGTCGAAGGCAAAATATTGACGATGAACTTTGCATAGGTGGCTTGGCATGAACGACGCCAATCCCGATGCCTTCTCCACCTCTGGGTTTAACTAGCGGGAGCATCCCTCCCATGGGGTCAGCGACATCGCGGGCTCTCGGCCGATCCATGGGGCATAGAAGGTGAGAGGGAGGGGGCGCCTAAGAATGTGCCAACTGCACCGTGTGGTAGTGACGCATGGCGAAGGTGAGGTGTGCTCAGCGGGCAACCGGGAGACGATGGACAGCAATCACATCTGCACACAGTTAGGATTTTCAATTTTTTTAGGGGAGGGGGGGAGGAGGATTTTCAATTCTTATGTGATTATGTGACAGTACAAACATCACGCACATTTGTTTCTAAATAATCGTAGCAAAGGCATAGCCCATGATTCTTTGAAATAGATTGTGTACATCACATCCTTCACTTCGAATCTTATGTGATGCATCGCACACGGTTTATTTTTCTTACCGCGTGCGATGTCATCGTCACACATAGTTTCTCGACAGTGCAGGCGATTAGAGAAGTGAGTTAAAAGGCCACATATGCAGTGGACTAATATGCTCAACTGGCAAGTGGGACTGATTGGTGAGGTCCATGGCAAACCACAAATGTTTGTAGCACTACGATGTGACATATGTATAGGAGGACTGTATTTAAAATGAGCGTGTTTTAGGGAACAACAAGTGCAGTACTACGTGTACGAGTAGCACGCAGGGGCGAATCAACCTGTGGTTGAGTTGGTTAGGTGGACAGTTGTATCCCCAACCCATCAGGGTTCAAATCCTGGTGCTTGCATTATTCCTGGATTTATTTCAGGATTTCCGGCGATACGCTTTCAGTGAGAGGAGACGTTCCCATCGACGACGAGGCGCCTACGGTGACTTTGTAAATCTCAAAATGATATGCCGGCTCAGTCTCTCGGAGGTGCTCATAGGGATAGGGTGTGCGTGTGTGCGTTCATAGGGGTGAGTGTATGCACGCGTATATAAGCGCTTGTGTCTGTACTGATACTCAAAAAAAAAGCTAGCACGCAGGGTATTGATTTAGACCAAAGACCGGTCAACCGCGACCAAGCAAGCAAACAAAGGTCCAACATATGTGTTCAAAAATAAAAAAAGGTCAAACATATGTGTGCTCTACCGAGGAGAGCATATAAAAGAAAAAAGCAAAAAAAATCGCGGGGATAAAAGAAAACAACATACACATATGCATGACTGGTCCAATCGCGTGGTCCGACAACGGGACCTCATGATGAAAATACTCCCTCCTTTCATCTATATAGGGCCTAATGCTTTTTTCAAGGCCGCCTTTGACTATTGACAAGATTAATAGTACATGACATGCATAATGTGAAAATTATATCATTGAAATCTCCTTTCACATACGAATTTAATGGTATGCTTTGTGTAAGTTGCATGTCATATATTATTGCCCTAACATTTGGTCAAAGTTAACCTCGAAAAACGCATTAGGCCCTATATAGATGGAAGGAGGGAGTATATTAAATGGCCTAATTTCTGTAAAAGAGACCAAAATAGGGCTGGGGGGAGGGGTAAAACTGGAATTTCACTCTTTTTCTGAAATTGATCATACTGCGATATTGGATTCTGTGATGTCCTCATGGAAAGAAAAATAATTTAAGATCGATTGGTTGATGCCCGCGTGTGATTAGTAATGTACACTTATTTTTTCTGTAAATGTATATTTATTAGACCACGGTTTTGTTAAGTAGTGTTTCCAGCTCCTCGAAAAAAAAAGTAATGTTGCCAGCAAATTATGTGTTTTAACACCTACTCCGGCCCTCTCCGGTCCATTTTTTTTTTTGTCCAAGACGATAAGGAGAAAAAGGATCAACAATCTTAATAGCTATTTCAAAGATGGATAATTTCATATCTAAATGAAGATAGGATAAGATATATACGAATAAGGAGTACTATGTACATGACCCAAAAAATCGTCAACGGGCTCCCCAAGAGAACAAAATACTCATACGTTTTCTGGTGATTTTGTTGAAACGCAAATGAGTGAATTAGCAGAACCAACATGGTACAATACCGTACAAGATGGGTACCTGGCGACCTGCTCGTCCATGTGAGCATGTATACGTAGCCTAATTTGAACACTACGTACGTACCTACTGTGTTCAAGTGTTCAACCTCAGAAGACGAAGGACCGGGTTGAGAACCGCGTAGCGTTGCATGGCGCGTGTCCGACATACACGCTGGCTGGACCGGAGAAAATTAAGCCTACAAAATACGACTAGTAGTGCAATCTGAAGAATATAGACCAGGTCTCCATCAGTTTGTTCTACTTTTCTCCTTCAACCCTGAGGCGCATGCACGCAGCAAACCTATAAAAGGAACCCGCCGTCCCGTCCCTCCTCCAACAACCACTTCAAGCTCGTCATTTCATCCATCACTCCATCCGACGTACGTAGATTTCGGCCCGTCTGAAACACTCGCTCAACCAATCCGTCCAACCGTACGTACTCGGAGACTCGGAAGATTTGCATGGCGTCGTCGGCGACGATGGCGAGGACGGTGGTGGTGGCCTTGCTGCTGATGCAATTCTGCGACGTGGTTCTGGCGGCGAGGCTGCTGGAGGGGGACGGCGCCTGGCTGCAGGGCGGCGTTGGCGCCGCTGGGGCGCTTATCATGCACATCCTGCCCGGCGGCTCTCCGGGAGCGGGAGCACCCAACGGCTGCACCAACAACCCCAAACACCCCGCCGGTGGGAAATGCCACGGCTAAGTTAGCCGCCGGCCGGCAGAGCTCCATTAGTCAATTAGGATCTAGTACCTGCTGCACATGTGTACATAGAGTTCGTGTTCAGTGATTCATCCATTCTTTTTTGGAAATCCATTGATTCTTTCTTTCTTTAATTGTAATTAGAGAGCTTCCGAAATGGAGCCCTGGAGCAGTTCAATTTTCAGTTATCTTTTGCGAAATTTGAGCTAAAGCAGTCTCTGGCGTAGGTCATGTAACCATGCTGTATAGGTGACTTTGATATTCTATTTATTATGACTGAAAATGAATACTTATAAAAAAAATGCGCAATCGACTTCAGTGTTACACAAAACTATTATACTCCCTCCGTTCCAAAATAGATGACCCAACTTTGTACTAAAGTTAGTACAAAGTTGATTCATCTATTTTAGAACGGAGGGAGTAGGTTTCAACTGTTTTAGTTTGGTTGTGTGGCTAAAACAAAAATTATGAGTGAGCACAGAAAGGGTGCCCTTCACAAAAGGGGCAATAACTAGACCAATGGCATGCATATATACAAACCAAGATTATTTTATGACCGATAAACAATACGAAAAGGGTCATACTGTGGTTATATATTTGAGGTAAATTGTGTACAAGGGTTAGAGATGGAATATACATGCGGGGGAAGATATTTACAGAGGCAAAAGAAGAAAGGAAAGCTAGCTGGCACAAAGTTGCAGTAGGTCCTTCAATTTTTTGAATAGTTTTTTCTTCACCCTATGTGTAATATCAAGTGTTAGGTCTTCCTTGACGCATTCTGAACTGAGGGATTCTTGGCTTGCACGCCAAGATGAAGCTCTTGCTCCGAGCTGGGCCCCTGGATTGCCTCCTGGAGCCGTGTTGCCACCAGGGCCCCTCGGCCCTGAGGCTGGCCAATTACCGGGCTTCCTGCTGGACTATGGGCCACCCCCGGCATATTGCACCATCAGTGGCCTCCGAGCATTTATGTAGTTTGGAGTCTTGCGTTCAGGAATGAAACTCAGGTGGGCTCCTTTTGTATCAGCAATAGGAGCAGTCTAGCTTCTGGCTGACTTAGGGGATCTTTGGCTTTGCCAAGTGTGCATTCTCTATAGCTTCGCGACCTGTACCTTTACGGTTTCATGGCCCGCGTCTTCGCGGCTCATATTTTCACGGCTTCACGACTCGTGCTCTTTGCGGAGCCCACCACTGGCACAGAAACCTCGCCAGCCGATGATAAGTGTTTTTTTCCTTTGCGCTCTACTCCATGCGTCTGCCTGCTCCAGGCCTAGCCTGCATCATCGCTTGAAATTCCAAACGCGTCCTTATAAATTGTAGAGGGGTATTTCACAAAATTACATTGCATCTTCCTCCTCGGTCTCTTGCGCACCCCTTTCCCCCCATTGTTAATGGCGGAAACTTGGGATCCAAAGACCATAGTGATGGAGGAATCGAGTGGATCAGTGCGGTCACCACCCGCGGGGGCGACCGAGCTCTCCAATAAGGAATGTCGCAAACTCCCGCACTGATTTGTCTGCTGGAGCGCCAGCCGCCGGCAGGAGTGCTGGGAGTTGGTCAATCTCCATGACTACCCATCATGACCTGGCAAATCTGATTACTGATGGGTTCTTGCCGCATAGGAGCATTCTACTGTGGCAGCCCACGATGCCGGTGGACGATGTGTCGAACCCGGATAATTGGAACAGGGATGTGCGCACCTCATTACTTTGTCATGGCTTCTCTCTTCCCCTACATAGTTTTCTCTGGGTGGTTCTATGCCCCGAACCTTCCGAAGGAGATTACCAAAGCGGGATTGACACCTTTTGAGAATTCACCTCCGCAGGAGCGTCCGTCATGGAGCGCAGAGACCGAGCTCCTTAGCATAGAGGTATCAATTAGAAAAAGAATGTCAAATACTTTCTCCGTCCCAAAATAAGTGTCTCAACTTTGTGATAACTTTAGTATAAAGTTGTACTAGAGTTGAGACACTTATTTTGAAACAGAGAAAGTATGTTACAACTATTTCCATATTTGTCAAGCTGTCATGTTTAGATAGGCCAAAGTACCTTTAAATTCCGGCAACCGCTAGGCGCTGGCGCGTCGGCCGAAAGTTTCGGCCGGTCATGCCCCAGCCGCCCGATGCAGTATATTGGGTCCGTCAGATCTGCATCTCAACCCAATCTTTCTTCTTCCTCCCGTTCAATGCCTCCAAGTAAAAGGCAAGGCTCTCTGTTTGCGCGCCGCTGTCGCCGTCAGCGTCGCCTGTTCCCAGCATGGCTCGCCTCCGGTTGCAGCAACCCCCAGTTCGCCATGCCTCTCGTCGGCTCCGCCGCAAGCAGCTCCTACCGGGGAAGGTCGTAGTTCCGGGGAAGGAGTGCCACCCCATCCAGCTTGTAGCAACGCCGTTCTTCGTCGACGGCCGTGTCTCCGGCGAAGCCTTCAAGTAGTTCACCGTCGGTCCCTGGAGTTTCTTCACCGCTGTAACTCCGCCGTGAAGCCATTGCATCAATGGTGATGTGCCATTGTTGCTGGGTTGAAGCTTTTCAAAAATATGGTTGAAGCTTTTCATGTCAATGATTGCTACTTTTTCATTGTGTACTCGCGGGTTGAAGCTTTCTGTAAAGCCGGTTGAAGCTTTCTATTAAACTGGTTGAAGCTTTTCAATTCGACGGTTGAAGCTTTCCAAGACGGTTGTAGATTTTTTCTTTCGTAGTGGTCCGATGAAACTTCTCTATTCCGCCGTTTGAAGCTTTTTCAAATATGGTTTGAAGCTTTCACATGAACTATTGAAGCTTTTTTCAGTTGTACGGGGTTCATTGAAGCTTTTTCAAACTATGGTTGAAACTTTCGTATGAACAGTTGTAGCTTTTTTCAATGCATGGTGTCCAGTTGAAGCTTTATATACTGCTGGTTGAAGCTTTTGAATCGAACGGTTGTAGCTTTTTTGATAGTCGGTTGCAACATCGGTGGAGGGGCAAGATGCTTCCAAAGTTCGTTTGGGAGAACATGATTGCAGCGGCGGGGGAGGGGGTTGCGCTGCCGTGGTTGTAGCATCTCCGGTGGACGGTTCCAGCAGAGGAAACTCTGGGCAGCAGCTCGCGAATGGCATATCCATGGCGGCTTCCAACTCCGGCTCGCCGGGGCGGGAGGAACCTGTAGCCAGGGGCAGCAGAAGAAGTGGGCGTGAGGGCTGAGGTTGGAGGTATGGGCCTATGCGGGATTGGGGCTAGCCGCTGGCGGGGCCTGAAGGAGGAAGCCAAGGAGCGTCGATGCGGCTGAGAGAGAAAGAGAGGGAGAGAGAGAGAGAGAGAGAGGATTGGGAAGAAAAAGGGAGGAAAAGAAAGAAAAAAGAGGCAAGGAGGTGTGCGAGGCATGCGATAGGCCTCAATCGCATGGCTCGTGCGGGACCGGCAGAAGTTTCGGCCGGTGTGCCGTTGTCAAACATTTCCCTTAAATTTCCCCCTTACCTCGTGGGAGGTAAGGAGGGCCATGTTATTAAAAGAGCTCAAGAAAAAAGATGGGGGTGTTTAGCACGGCCTGCGATCAATCTTGAATTCTTGATCAACACTTTGTTCAACCTTAACTATACTGTAGGAAATAGACTTGGTTGAGAAGCGCGTAACGTGGTGCGCGCGTGTCCATCCTTGACGCTGGATCTACGATCGTACAATAATCGTTTCCCATTCGTTACAGGAAAACTCTTTTTCCTCGGACGACCGGTTACTCTCTGAGCGCATGCACCAACCTAGCTATAAAAGGAATCAACCATCGATCTCTCCTCCAACAACCGCTTCAAGCCAGCCATTCGTCCATCTGCAACACTTGCTCCGTACGTGCCGTAGGTGTACTCTGACTCGGAGACTCAAAAGTAAAACCAGGAACATTTCTATGGGATCGTCGGCGACGATGGCGAGGGCGGTGGTGGTAGCCCTGCTGCTGGTCCAGTGTTGCAACGTGGTCGTCGCGGCGAGGCTACTCGAGGGAGACCACGGTTGGCTGCACGGCGGCGTTGGCCCCGCTGGGGCGCTTATCATGCAGGTCCTGCCCGGCGGCTCTCCCGGAGCGGGAACACCCAACGGCTGCACCAACAACCCCAACCATCCCCCCGGCGGGCCATGCAACGGCGGCCGTTAAGTCGCCGGCGGAGCTCGGCTAGTCAATTACTAGCATGCATGTGCATGACGTACATACATGCGTAGATAGAGACCGTCTCTTGTTCGTCTTGTTTGATTAATTCTTTGTCCATTGGTTCCTTTATTCTTTCAAGTGTAACTATTTTAGGGCTTCCGTCAAATGATGGAGCCCTGGAAGCTGTTCAAATTTAGTTAGTTTTATGTAGTATATGAATTTTGCAGTAAAGTAGTCTCTGATGTAGGTCTGTGGCCACTAACCAAAGTGTATAAAGTTCTTCATACTATTTTTTTTTCATAACCATGAGTGGAAGATTGTTGCACGATGATTTGGAATATTTGGAAGGAGAGAAACAAAATGGCTTACCTACAGGCTAGGTCAAGGGACCAAAGCGAGGTGATCCACATTTTGATAGTAATCTGTATTATATATGGATGTGTGGGTTTGTACGAGGGTATCAACGCCCAGGGTCATGCAAAATATGTAATTATCTCTTTTCCACTTTTGATAAGTATATTAAAAAACAAAATTATTAAGTGCGACTTGAAATGAATATCTTTACATGCAAAGAAGCGTGTCCAGTCGAATTCGAATTGCAGTGATTTCTTGTTACATGTCCCCATAATATCCTGTTAACGCTATTTTTTATTAGTCAAAGATTCACTAAAAATAGTTTAAGAAGTGCATACTACAAAATTTTTGCAGCAGGCAACAAAACCAATATTTAATCAAGCGAGCACTAATATCAACCATAGTAATCACACAACGCGGCGCTAAGCTGGTGCGTAGTATTTGAAATTCTAGTACGTACTAGTAATAAACAAGGGTATCATATCTAGGTGGACTAGCTTGTATGTCAACACATCATCTGCGGAAGAGCTTCTAACTCGAAC